CCCAGTCCACAACCCTCTTGTGCTGGAGACCACTTCAGAGCTGAGCAGAAGCCCTCTGTCCTCTCACAGCACAGGTAGCATCCTGCTCCTCTCTAACTCTCCTCTCTAACTCTCTAACTCTCCCCAGACTGGAAATGCAGGACAGGGCAGAGCAAACAGCAAGAGCTGCTTTCTCCTGTGAGGTCCAACACCAGCAGGTCACCGAGTTCTCTCCACCCAGAGCTGCAGGGGTCCAAAACATGCCCCTAAAAAGCGCTCAGCCCATCGATCTCACAACCCAACAGTTTACAAAAGCATTTCATGGGTTTGGTTTTTTTTTCGTTTTCGACCCATTTCTTAGTTAAAAATTAACTGAAATAGGCTGAACTGCAGGAGATATTTCCCCCACACCCATGGGCCAGCCTGTGGCTGCCAGAGCTGGCTCTGGGCTCAGACAAGTACCCCACTCCTGGTTCAGAGGTCAGGCACACTGGCAGCCAACACTGTTACTATTTTTACATTGAAAAAACCACAACACAAATAAATGGCTGCTTAAAGGAAACAAAATTACGATTCTATTAAGAAATTATCTTTAATCCATGCTGGACAAGGCTGACACCTTCCCTCCCTTAAGGAGGCTGCAAAATTAAATTAACGTTTGTGAAGTGCTTGGATGTCATAGCAATAAGTAGCCCAGAGAAGCCTGTGGGAAATGAATAGTTTGGTCTTGGTGAGCAGGGACACAAGAGTACACAGTGGGATAAACAAAATTAGCTAGTGAGCATCTCTCACCCATGCACTGCTCCTGGAAAACACAGCCTGTGACCATGAAGAGCACACTGTAGTGCAGATATACCAGAGGCCTGAAGTAAAAACTAAGGCAATTTTGGTCATGGCGTTTCCTGACTTCCAAGAAATCAGGAAGCTTACACAGAAGCACTTCAGCTTGACAATGGAGCTTCCCCCCAGCTCTCACCAAAACATCTCTGCCAGTCCACAGTCAGCCTCAGCCCCTCTCCTTCTGAAGGCTCCTCAAAGGCACATGGACAGCGCCAGTTCTCCAGGGGGCTGATGGTCCCTTCCCAGGGATCAGCTCTGCTGACCAGTGACTGCTGCAGCCACTACAAGCAGCTCTAACTCTCTCCAGACTGGAAATGCAGGACAGGGCAGAGCAAACAGCAAGAGCTGCTTTCTCCTGTGAGGCCCAACACCAGCAGGTCACCGAGTTCTCTTGTGGCCAGGTGACAGCAAAAGAGAGCTAGGATGCTTGGACAGTCTGTCACACCTGGGACAAACCCTTTCATCAACACCACTGCCATAAAGCAAGCTCCTGCATCGTTCCCAGTCCAAGTCTCCATCCCATTTTTCCTCTGCTCCTAACTTCTATTCTGGCTTCCCAGCTTTACTTGGTGAGCAGTGGATTTTTATCAGCACACTCACCATGAGCATCACTTCCCCCAAAGTTTCAAAACACTCCCCACCCCTCCCCACAGCCAAGGGGCAGAGACCTTCCCAGATAAGGCAGCTGAGGGAACCGTGACATTTTTAAATGACTAAGCAGTGTCCTTCCCCGGCCCTCTTCTCAGAAACAGATGAACAACTTGGGGATGACACTTCCCAAAAGTATTTGGTGAAGAGCGGCAGCCCGCTCTGGTGTGGGGATGAGATTGCACCAGACTGCAGGCAGGATATTAATGGAAAGCATCAGCCAGCTGGCCAAGGGGTTATCAGCTCCTTCCCAAGGGCAGAGCCGCCCCTGCCAGCGGGCACTTCCCAAAACAGTCACACTGTCAACTGAGCTCCCAGGGAACAAAGCCCCACAAACCTCATGGGGTGAAGCACACTCACTGTCACTGCCTCTGACCAGCACAGATTGCAGCGGTGCAGGAGCTCGGAGTGGCTGTAATAACTCCCAAGGAAAATGAGAAACTAAACTCCAGGACACTTTCCCCGCACTCCAGGGAAGGATCAGAGGTTTTATAGCATGGTGGAAGTAATGCAACAAAACCAGGCAGTCTTTCCAGCCATTTTGCTCTAGCAGGAGCCCTCCTGTGCTGTTGTACAGCACCCAGCACACCTGAGTGCTGCAGCCACAGCACACACTGCTCAGCACGGCTGGTGCCAGACCCACAGCACTCCATCATGTGGTGGAAAGCACTGCTGGCCCCTAGGAAAGGGCACGAGCAGGCTGCCACCATGGGATATATTAAACCAGGTTATAAGCTGCTGGTCAAGCCAGGGAAAACCTTACTGGTGGCAAGGGAACTGCTCTGGGGCTGCACGATGATGGTGAGCTGCATGTTGGGCTCTGCTCTGCGGGAGGGATCACTCTCACCAGCTCCCTGGTAACTTTTCATCAGGGACTTACCAGGCTCCAAGCTCAGAAGGCACTGACAGCACTTTAGGAAAGGTGGCAGACACCACAACAGGGCAGATCATCCCCTTCACTGTGCTCACAGACAGTCCCCAAACACCACAAGTAACAAATCACTCGTATCCCAAAGCCTTTGCCAGCTGGCAGTAATGGCTCGAGGGGTCTATTCCTCTCTGAAAACACAGTGGCAGTTCTCCTGCGTTTGAGGGTCATTAAATGCTGCCCACCCCTCACCTCTCAGCACTCACAGACTCCTTGCTGGTTACCACACCCCTACAGGCTCCAGTCCAGAGGGACTTTTCAAAAATTTCAACAGCAATTAAAATTTGGTTGTCCTGGGCTGCCCACTTGTCCATCCTGGAGTACAGACAAGTCAGTGCACAGAGGAGCCATGACTTCCCTGTCCCACTCTCCCAGCAAGCTCCTCATCCCTGCTGGAGGGAGGTGTCACAGGAGAAACTCCTCCAATACACGCTGGCTGTTGAGCTGGTATTCAAGTGTGCAGTTTTCTAAGCCTATACTTGTTACAAGGTGCTACAGCATCTGTGAGCGATGGCTAAAGGCACTCCCACGTGCTTGTTTCTGGGCAGGAATACTTTACCAGCTCCTAAGCCAAAACATCTGAGACTTGCACTCATAACTTGGCCCGTGGAAGCCCCAGCAAGCTCACTGTCCCTGGGCTTGCCTGCAGCAGGTCCTCAAAGCCAAGACACAGCCCTTCCCAAATGTTTTAAAACAGTGTTTTGCAACCTCTGAAACCATTTGAGAGACACTGGTCAAAGAGCCATTTTATATGTTTCAGCAGCTGGGAGAGAAGCAGTAACACCCTGACAGCAGTAACCACCAAGGTTTACAAATTGCTTTGCTGGATACATGGTTTGGGTTAGCACTGTAGGCTAAAGCCTTCTCCTGTCTGGGGCTGTCAAGTCAATGGCAGTCAGCTGTAAGTTAAACAGTCACTAAAACTTAATATCAGTTTTGCAAACTGAAGCTTGAATGCTTCCCCAGTTGGGCTTTTTTGTTGTGGGCTTTTTTCCCCCCAAGGCTCGCTGGGAGGAGATGGGAGGGTGAGGAGAGCTGGGGACTGTTAAAAGAAGGAGGGGACAGGTATTGTTTCCAGAGGGAGGTGGGAAGAGAAAGGAAGTAACATCTAGAATGTGAATAGAGACGGGAAAAGCAGATTAGAATTCCAGTTCTGACTCAGTTTTGATCTAACTGATGGAGCAAGGGGAAAGAGAGAGTGGGCAAGAGCAGTCACTACTACAGAGCAGTCACTACTACAAACCTGAATTAACCCCTGCCCCACCACACACACTTTGGTGGCAGTCACCAACAAACCTCCAACAGCTGACAAATAGCAGAAGCCTGTTAAGAATCAGCTCCCAGACCTCCCACTCCTCCCACTGCTGATGGCTGCAGGACTGGGGGGCTCCCAAAACTGATAACTGTAAATGCCCAGTGCAGACTGGTGCTTCTCTGAGGTCTCACACTGCATTGAAGGAACACCCCAGAGAAGCCAGCAGCACACTGACACTGAGAGAGCCTGCCTGCAGGCCCACAGGCACTGAATGGGAACTGAACAGGGTGCAAGGGCTGCAGGACCTTGCTTTGATCTTCCAGGCCGGACTTCAGGTGCCACCAACACCCTCCTACATGGTCCTGCAGCACTGCCTGGAACAGGAGATATAAAACAGCATCTGCTCACCTGCCAACACAGCTCACACAATTTCAGACACATTAAACCTTCTTCTGAAACAAACCTTACAACTCACTGGTTAACTTATTCCCCTTTGGGGATGTACACTTGAACTGAGATCAGACAACAGCCTGGTCCAAGCTGCCTTTGTTCCCCATATGTAAAGACCTTCATTACAGGCAGCTGCTACAAACTTTGGGGGTCAAAGGAAGTCTGGAAGGTGAGCACACCTAAACAGGGGAATGATCAGGGCCTTGTAACAAAAAAAACCCCCAAGCTACCAGCCAGAGCCTGGGTTGTACATTGCAACTCTGGAAGGCTGATGGACCCATCAGGATCCTGGTCTCCCTACAGTCAGTGCAAAGAGGAACACAAGGACCAGCTGAGCCACGTCCTGCTTTCTCCTTCCACAGGGAGGAGCACAGAGCAGCAGGAAGGAGCAAGGCCCAAAGGCTTTGAAGCACACACCAATATTAGCCAAGGGAAGACAAGTATTTACAAAGAGTATCAGCAATCACATCACCTCACTTTTCAGAACAGAACATGACAAGGAAGGCACATGCAAGAGAGCTGTGCTAATGCAACACTGTGACATAAGATTAAAACTAGGAGGGGAAAAAAAGACTATTTATGAGTCAGTCGTGTGGTGACACTGGCATTTCGATGCTCAGACATTAAAGCACAGCCACAAGCACGGTGCTTGTGCAGCCCTGCACCCTGCCAGCATGGGGAGGTCACGGGCAAGAGCTGCTCCAAACATCACTACTGCACGTTGGCAACTACATCTCTCGGTCTGACAAGAGACTTCATCTCTCCAAACAGATTCTTCATCCTGAGTGCTAAAGTACTGCGAGGAGGAGGAGACAGCAGGAACCACAAGGACAGTAGGGCAATCAGTCATTTTCTCTCAAATGATACGGAAATAAAAGTGAAGCAGGAAGAAAGTGGTACCTCTGTCAAAGGTCTTGGTCTTCTCTCTACAACAAATTCTGTGTGGCAGAGCTCACAGTAACTTGTGTTGGAGGAGGATAACCATTTTTCCAGGCAGCTCTTGTGCACGGTGCCCAGTGTTCCTGTGCAGTCACACGGGGAAAGCAGTCCCTCCCCATTTCCACCTTCATGACAGATTCGACAGATGGGACCATCACTGAAGAGGCAGAACAAGAGACAAACAGAATGAAATCATGGTCAGAGCAGGCAGAACGACACAGCTGTAGTGTCTGGTCCCACCAGGCTCCAGAAAGGCACATGCACAGCAAGCAGCATGTGGCAGAGCACACCAGGAGCCTGCTGCAGCAAGAAACCAGTCTCAGGGGAACATGGGGGTGCCCAGGACATTTTAGGTCAGTTAAATCAGGAAGCCCTGTTGATGAGCACCACAACACCCAAGAAAGCTGGCACATCAGCCTGGCCAGCTCTGCTGGCACAGAATCCACTGCAGCACACGTCCCACAGCCTCCAGCTCTGCTCACAGTGGGCAGGGGCTGACACCAGACCCAACACTAAGCCTGAAAGCACTGATACAAAATCAGAAGACCACAGCAAAGCCAGATGATCCACAGTAGCCACAGCCACCTGCAGCCACTCCAGAGTGGCAATCAGTCACATTTATGAGATCACCTACCCACGCTTGGCCCACCTCTGCTCTGCACCCTGGGCTGACAGGAACTGGGTAAGGAACAGCACTATCTAAAGACCCAACTACACTGACCCTGGAAGCTCAGCTCTCCAAGGACACAACATATTTCACAGCAGGCAGCCACTCAAACTAATCTCTCAGCATACAAACCCTCTGCCCATCACAGCACAGGAACTGCCCGGCGTCCCATGGGCACCTCTCCACAGGCCACCAACCACTCAGCCTCCCAGTGGCTGCAGAAATGCCTTGGTGCTTCAGCAACAACCCCTTCTCACCCCTCCTTGGCCACAAGTTTCAAACAAATATCTTTGATCTGCTCTCTTGGGAACTCAGAGAACCAGAGATGCTTATCAAGAGAAGTATCAAACACATTCGGAGACACTTCCCTGCAGGAGGCCTGTGCTGCTCATGGCACTCGAACCACCCATCAGTTCCCAAGATGTTCCTCACACCTTCAGCTGGCACCACTGACTGTGGATGATTAGTGCTACACCTTCCACTACACCAGGTTGCTTAAAAGTCCCAGCCAACGAGGCCTGGAACACCGACAGGGATGGGGCATCCCAAGGCACAGGTTTCTCAGCAGCTTTTTGCCAGCCCTGTGATGAAGATGTTTTGGGCTCCCTGGGAAGCCTCAAATGGCTCTAGACACCAAAGTTCTCTGTTCTCAGCAGTTCAGTACAACTCTTTACCCACCACTGATATCATTTAGGAAGAAAATGTTCCCTGGACCGTGGGAACCAGGCACTCATAGTATGTTTCTTTCACACAACTGTTCTCTTACATCTGTATCTGCCCAGATTTGTGGGTGGGAGAGAGGCTGAGAAAGGAACATCTTTATTTCTTGAAATCCAGGTGAACAATATCAGCTATCACCTTTTTCCATGTATAGCTGCCAGAACAAAAGCCACACTGAGCTCATCTCACAGTTCACACTCCACTATTCTGACTTCAAAAGCCCCCCACCTGACTGCAGAAGTTTGAGGGATTGCTACACAACAGTAAGAGCAAGCACTTAGCAACCTTCAAAAGCAGCAGGGCCACTTCCATTAGTTTGCACAGAAAGCAAGAGTGAGACATGGAAGCATGGTTCAAGGAAAAGGAGCACACTGGGGGAAAAGGTTGGTGGGACATGAAGGAAAGGGAAGAGCCAGCAATGAAGTGCACATCAGCTCGCTAAGGGAAAAGCAAGACTCCTGTCTTGGTGCACCACAGGACATCTCTACCACTTCTAATGTTTAGGAGCTTTCAACCCAGTTGGATCTTTACTTAGAGCTGTGAAGCAATGTACACCCACAGCACCATCCCCTTCTCTGTTAAACATCACTGGTGAACCACCAACCACGTCCTCTCCTCCTTTTCACATCCCTTTTATTTAGGGCACTTCCTCAGCCAGGACAATCCCTACAACACGAGTCTGGGGAGGTGGTGGGAACTCCATCCTCGGAGATCCTGGAAACTGCATCGGAAAAGGCTCTGAGCATTCTTTCTCTGAAAGGAGCCTGGACCAGATGTCCTATGGAATTGCCTTCCAATTTGAATTATTTGATGATTCTGTAACATTTATTGCCATAAAGTGCTGTACCAGAACCACCAAAGTGCAGCCTGCACACAGAGCCTTAGTGACAGGGACAGACAACCCCTCCGAGCCTCCAATGCTCTCACGCTCTGTTATTTCCTAAGAAAAGCATCTGTAAGATATTTCATCTGTTCTGTTCCTGTTTGAGAAGCTTCGTATTTCCAGCACATTAATATAACCCATAAACAATCCAGAACGAAAAAATTTGCTGACAGTGGTGTGAAAAAAACCTCTTTATCAGACTTCATTTTCCTTCCTTCCTATCCGGAGGGGGTGGGGGCCCCGTCACCCTCCCACACGATGCACTCTCAGAAGTTTTCCAGCAGGCTGTAGAGACCATATCACTAACCCAACATTCCAGTGTAGCCAGAGTGCTCCCAGCTTCTCTGTGCTAAGTGCTGGTGACAAGGAAGGGACTGAAACCCACTATCACCAAAAGGAACAAACTGATCTCCACACAGACACATCAGGAATCCTGTCGGGGTCTTTTAACCTGTGTTCCCAGGCAGTTTTCCCACACAAGCATTACACCTCCACAAGTTCTAAGGGTTTAAAGAACTTCTTGCACAGCCTGTCTGCTGCCAGAGAGCAAGCCCAGTTCCCCTCACATTTTCACTGGCCTGCTCCAGGTTTGCTGGATGCAGCAGTTATGTTTGCCTCCACTCTCATCCAGCTTCCCTGCAGTCACCACTTTCACACCTCATCAACTTCTGGCCAAATTAATTGAAAAAAAATAACAGCTGTTCAGACAGGATTTGTGAACATGAATGTGACAGTCCTCACTAGCTGGACTGAACAATACTGCCAAGTGTCCTCTGCTCTGGAAGCTGCTCAAAATACATGACAAGAAGTCACATCAGGAGGCGTCTAAACCAGTGAAGCTGCCACGTGTTCCCTGTAGCAACAGCTACAGTTCCTGCAGTTCCTGCAACACAAACACCCTCCCGTCCCTGGGGTTGTACAACAACACCACATCTTTACTCTGTGGACTTTCCTGGAGCAGGGGCTGTGCTCCACTTCCAGCCTTTCAGTCTTCTCCATGAACAGCCACGCTGCCCTGCGAGCACAGCACCACCTTCACTGCTGTCCTGTGAGGACATGGCAGTGGCACACAGCGAGAGGCCACCCGGGCCACCCCCACCCAGAGCAGCCACAGCTCTGGGGCTTCAGTGAACACACAACTCCCAGTCCACCAGCACTCGGGGCTGCGTGAGCTCCACACGGAGCACAGGCCAGGGAAGCGTCCGGCTCACTCAGAGTTGGCCCCCTCAACAAACTCCTCCACAAAACAAGACTTTGCTGCCTCCCTCTACCCCTAGAGCCACCAAAAGAGGGGAAGAGCCCAGCCATGGCCACGCCAAGCCCTGTCCCTGCAGCAGCCTCACCTCTGGGCGCCCAGCGCCTTGATGACGGTGGAGAGGAGCCGCCCGTCCTTGGCGGTGACCTGGGTGATGTACTGAGGGCGCCCGATGTCCGAGTCCTCCACCGACTTGGAGAGGGCAGCGCTGCCCGGGCAGTCGCACAGGGACCCGGGGAGGTGGCAGCAGTCGCCCGTCGTCATGGCAGCTCCGGGCCCCTCTGTCCCGGGACCGGCACCGGGGAGACCTGCGGGAACGGCACCACGGTCAGAGCCAGCACCCTGCAGAGCCCGGCCCCTCACCACCCTCCTCGGGCTGGCAGCACCCCGGGGCCCCAACAGCCACGGGGGGGCTTGTGAGCCTTCTGTCCCCTTTAATAGGCTTTGTGAGGCTGCCTTACCATAAAATTAAGACTCCAAATGTTCCACTTACATAACTTAACGATCGGAATTGCAAATTTACCTTTCTCGGAGAGAATTCCTGGCACCCACCCTTCAACCTGATGAAGCCTTTCAAACCAAATGTGCCAACGCAGAGGTGGGGAAGGCAACCAGAAGCCCCATGAGCCTGTGCTGTTCTGGCTAGAGCTGTCCTGAAAACTTATATTCATGCTCTCTGTAAACGCAGCAAAGTTTCACCCGGACAGGCACCCGAACCCATTCGCGTGGCTCGGTTCAGGGAGGCCCTTCTCAGCTGCATCCAGGAGCTTTCTGAGCACTTGAAAGTCCACCCAAGCCCAAAGGGCTCCCCCAACTCATCTCTGATTTTCCTTTTTTTAGATTTCTTTACAGAAATGCACACATTCCCACATTCCCTGCGGTCCGTCCCAACAGTGAATGTGTGGGCCTGAGCCTCCCAAAAGCACTGAAAGTGCTCCCCGGGCTCTCTGGGAAGGAAGGGCAGCAGGCCAGCTTGTCCCCTTTCCCTTTCAACTGCTCAGACCAACCACGACTTTTACAAGAGCCCCATGCAAACAGCAAAGCACACCAGTGTGGTTTTGGCACTTCTGTGATTTACCCAGCAAAGAGAACGCACGGATCAAACAGCAAATGCAAGAATCAGGAAGAAGGTGCAGAGAAAAGCCCAACACAGCAAACCAGGAGCTGGCTGTGACGAGCCACATGTGGACAGGAGAGCTCTCTGCCTTTGAGGGAAGGCAGCAGCTCGCCCAAGCTGCCAGCAACAGCAGAGTTCCTCCCTGGCAGGGGATACCTCACCCCCAAAGACAGGAATGCTCTGCAGATTCAGAAAAATCCCTTTTTCTCCAATTGTCTTTAGCCTGGTCCCTGAGAGGCAGCTGTGCAGAAATAAAGGGCTGGGGTTACAGTGAGTCACAAGCTGAACACAAGCCAACAACATCGTGCTGCTGGTAAAACCAAAATCCCTGTGTCTGTAAACAGGGCTGCCTTATGTAAGGCAGGCACAGTAATCCCTGTGCGCCAGCACTGCTGGGATCAGAGCTGGAATGCTGTCTCATCCTGGTGGCTGGATTTCAAGAAAGAAATAAATCCACAAAAGAAGTTCAAATGAAAGTAATGAAAAGGATAAAAGGTCTGCGGGGGGGGGGGAAGCCTGAAATAAAATAACTCCAATTCCAAAGAAGAAATATGAAAATAATTAAGTTTGTTAAATTCAGGAGGGGGGGAATCTGCAGTCTCTGTCTCCTGGAGGTAGGAGCAGGCAAACAAACCTTCACCATCCCATCCAAGGAAAGGGTCTTTTGTTTAGAGATGTCTGTGCACAACAGCAGTCACACGTTCCCATGAAACTACAGTTTTGTCAGGTTTAACTAAGCCAAAATCAAACTAAAATAGCTAAAGAAAATAAGGGCTTCTTCCTGGTTGGAGGCTTGGCCACACTACAGAAGAAGAAAACAAAAAGCCAATACAAGAATGTGACCCCTGCAGCCCTGAACACACTGACTTGGGTAAGCACAAGGGTTTTTTCCCGTCTTGGAAATCAAGAAACTCTCACACAACCAAGGCCTTCATCCGTCAGGATGGCTTCCTTCATGTACACATGTTCAAGAGGGAGAGAGCCCTTCAGTGGTGTCTCAGCACCAGATGCCAACTTTGGTAGCATCCCCTCATTTTGCAGAATATTTTCTAATTTCTAATAGAAGACTTTCTAATTTCTTTATTAAAGCTGCTCTAGATAACTATCTGTAATCCTTCCTCTGCACCTGAACAGGAATAAGCTTGAGCTTGTGGGCAGGTCAATCCCCATCCAAACAAATGTGAATCTTTTCATCAACCTAAAAATTAACTTCCCAGATTCAGCCTCTCTCTCCACCTGTGCAAAGAGCACACAGGGTTAGAGCCACTCTTCTTATTGCTCTCCTCTTAAAAAAAAAAAGGCTACAAACACCCCAACTTTAAGGAGCAAAAACCAAGATGACAAATGCTGTTGGAATGACTTAAGTCAGCTGCTCTACAAGTTAAGGAGTTATTTCAATTTTAACAACCTCTTACTGACTCAGGCATGAAAGGATATATGTTTTTAATAAAAAGGTCTGTTCCGTTTGTTCGGCCAAAACGTTGTTTATTTCTAAGTGCAGAGGAAAAAGGGCCATTTTGCGTATTGGAATAAAACTGCCCTCGCTGCCTGTGTCCTGGGAGTATTTACACTGAGGCTCTTTGTGCTCCACATCTGACAGACACAGGCAGCCCCATGGCCTTGCCCTGGCAGCCCTGCTCAGGCTGGAAGGGAATGGCCACCCTGCCTTTCTTCAGCAAACACACGGGTTTCTGTTACAGGTTATTTGGCTTTTCCTCGTTGGGAGAACCTGAAGTCACTGCTCTAATACCTGACTCACACCACTCAGTGAATACAAAGGAAAAGCAGCAGGATTTTCATGGATGCAGTTAGAGAAGAAGTAACTGAAATCCAGAGATGACATCTGCAGTGCACTCGGGTTCTGGTTCCATCCCCAGCGGAACAGGAACCACAGTGTACAGCCAAGCCAGGCCCCAGCCTGGCTCCCTGAAGGATCAGCTCATCAACACACAGCCTTCCCTCACAGCTGTCAGCAGCTCATCCAACCCAAACCCAACGTTCACAGAATCGTTCAGGCTGGAAAAGCCCCCTCAGATCACCACCTCCAACTGTTCCCCAGCACTGCCAAGGCCACCACTAACCCGTGTCCCCAGGTGCCACATCCACACATCTTTGGAATCCCTCAAGAGATGGCAACTCCACCACTGCCCTGGGCAGCCTGTGCCAGTGCCTGACCACCCTTCCTATGAAGAAATTTTTTCAACCTAAACTTCCCCAGCAGAGCTTGAGATCATTTCCTCTCATCCTGTCACTCGTTAACGGGGAGAAGTTACTGATCCCCACCTGGCTGCACCCTCCTTTCAGGGAGTTTTAGACAGCAAGAAGGTCCCCCCTGAGCCTCCTTTTCTGAATCCCCCAGCTCCCTCAGCCACCCCTCTTCATGCTTGTGCTCCAGACCTTTCTCAAGCTCCATTTACAGCAGAAATGCCAAAATCCTGGGGAGAGAAACAAGATCCAAACAGCTGGTTTGAACCACACACTGTTTTTTTCTAAGCACCTGGGATTTCTGAGCCCATTCTTTCGGGATACATTTTTTTTCACATAAAAAAAAAAAAAGCCTTCAAGACACTAGGTTTATTATCAGTATCTCCTCTGCTGCCACAGTTAGACATGATCAAATAAATCGGAAGTCTCTTCTCAGCAACATTTTGTATCCTCAGCTTCCGAGCAGACCCAGGATATAAAGGGCTGAGTTTGTAAATATTACTCCAACTGAAGAAAAACAAACCCCGTTTGTGGAAAGTTGGCTCAGAAAGGAAGGAGTTCTGCACCAGGACTCCAAAACTCAAACACGTGCAGCGAAATGAGCCAGTTCCTCAAAGAGCAGCTCGTGCTCCATCGCTGCTCCAAGGCAGACCAGGGTGCTGCTGTGGGATCCTGCTCCATGGCTTACCTGGACCAGGCCAGCAAGAGATTCCCCCTCATCAGTCCTCAGGCATTGCAACAACATATATAACCCAGTTTGTATCATCCAAAGGGCAACAGGGGGGCAAAACTCACTCAAAAGACTGCAGAGGTCAGGTTGGACCAGTGCCCTCCATCCAGGAGGAACTGGAACTCCATCCCCAGCGGGAACAAGCAGGAGTCAAGGAGCTAAAGGGTCCCCCAGCTCTGTTCTCCGTATTTAGACTTTGCAGATGGATAAAACAGTTATTTCTCCCATACAGGGAAACCACAGCAGACCAGATGAACACCTGGATCAAAGCCACAATGGGAGAAGCACAGTCAAGGTGGGAAAGACAACAGGGAAGGCTGCAGTCAGTCAGTGGCAGCAGTGGGGAAGGTGCAGGTCGTGGTTCTGCTGCTCCTCACAGCCTGTCCAATGATGAATATCCCAACCAGTGTAAAGCCCTGGAGCAATTCTGAGGCTCTGACTGGATCCAGAGCAAACTGGAACTAGAACCAGCTCCACCTTCTCCGGGTGCAGTGTGCACACCTCAGCTCCTGAGCAGACCGGCTCCCCCGGACACCTCCACCAAGAAAAACACCCAAGGCACCACCCGAGTCTGTTCCTGAGCAACCCATTTCCCTGATTACTGTAACCAAGGTCTGGCACCTCACCAAGGGTGCCACATCAGAGATAAACAAGTTGTGTTGCCAACGTAACCCACCCATCTGTACACAAGGACTTTTTTTTTTTTTTAATTTATCTCGTGACCCACTGACTGATTGCAGATCAGCGCTCCGACTGCTGCTCACGTGAGCTGATGTTTGATCCCGGGTGCAAGGCCACCCAGCCTGCTTTCCAAAGCCCTTTTAGCCAATTTGGGCACACGGACACTGAGTCTTCTCATCATATGACCCTGCAAATGTCACCAGCAAACCGAAGGTTTTCAGGTGCTAAAGGGCATTTCCAAACATCAGTGCTTTCCTTTTCACCCCAAAAACTGCATTACCCAAACCCTGAGCCCTACAACCATCTGAACACATCTTGAGGGAGACAAAAAGAATTGCTTTCTCCACACATCTAAGCACCTGCTCCCACACACCCTGTCTCACCCAGCTAATGCACATTACACACCTGAGACACTGCCACCAGAGATACAAGAGTGGGATGCTACGAGTGGCCTGAAGTGCTCCCTGCTACTGTTGAAAGGCTGCATAAGTGGATTAATTTAAAGAAAACAAAACAACAACAAACAACTAAAAAACCCCAAGAACCCATCCCAAATTGCTGCAGGGCTTTGTTTTCAGTTTTGTTTGCTTAAATACACTCTCTTGCTGAGAGTTGAAAACCACAGCATTATTTTCTTCTTTATAAAAGTACACAATTTTATATATCAGCTGACTCCTCGAAGTTACCCTGCAGGTCTGCTGTGGAACACCTTAAAAGTACCCAGAAAGCCAGCACAGGATCTGCCCACACTTGACCCATCAGCAACTCACCCACTGCCCAGGGCTCGTGAAGAAATCTTGTCAGTCCTGTGCTCAGAAGACACCTGAACAAACAGTCCTAAAGTCAGGGTGCAAGGAGCCCTGTTCAGTGAGAAAAGTGAGACAGCATTTTATGGCATATCACCCAACACTTAAAATAAGACCCGATGCCATACAACAGCTTCTAAAGCATTTTAAAATTTGGTAAACAGCACACAGGAAAGCATTTCACTCCCCAGCAGCTCCTCAGTTTCCTGCCCTGCCTGCAACATTTGGTTGGCCATTGCAGCTAAAGGAGGTGCTGTAAAAACTTCAGCCTTAACTTGCACTTCAGACAGTGCCAGCAGAGCAGTGCTGTGGATCAGAGAGCCCCTGACCATGGGTTCAAAACAAAACAAAGCCCAAAAAAGCACGAGAACAAAATATTCAAAGGACAACATTCGGGGAGCTTGTGAACCTTCTGATAAAGCTTCACACCAGGAACCTCCTCCCACACCTTTAACAGCCAAAGCTCAGGGCTGAGAGAGGTGAAGCCCCACTGCACCCACAGAGCCTCCCCTGCCTCACCCCTGGGGCTGAGTTTACAATGCCCATAACATGCTCCCAGTCTAACCCTGTAGCACCCAGGAGGAGGTCACAGGCTTCGAGGATGCAGCGTTTTTGGACTCCTGCATTTGTACATGGCCATGGCCAGTGACCTGGCCCAGCTGCCCCTCCACTGCTCCAGTGACACAACTCAGCACCAGCCTTCACTCACTGGCTGCTGCTGGGGACAAACAATCACAACTTCTCTGTACCAATCCACTATCTAGGCATATTCTAGAAGCTCTCTGAGTCTTGGTTATTATTATGGTCTGATGGCAAATGGGTTTGTTTTCGAGACACAGACGAAGAGACAGTCTTCCATTTTTTTCCAAAGAGACACAGTGCCAGGATCTGACTGCTGTTCCCCATTGGCAAAAAAACACTGCAGCAAGTCTTGGTGATCAATAACTTGTTTTCCAAAGCCTGCATCCATGCACATCCCTCCTCTCCAAAACTCAGCCTATTGGATCAACATCTGCAGTAGCTTCACTTCATCTCCACATCTTGCAGCACTGGGAAACTATGGGTTGGCAAAGATCCAGCAGGAGGGAACCCTGATTTTCAAACAAGATCATAGGGATGGGTCTTGTGTGGGCACAGCAGAGCTGTGACACAACAGGGCTCCTATCACCCCTGAGTTTGGGGTACCTATCATGGTGTTCACTCCACTGTTTTTCAACCCAGTTTTCTTCTAGAAGATTGTTGCCTAACATATAACAAAGTTACTCAATATTCAAAAAGAAGCAGGTTCAAACTCACATGCTCAGAAAAAAAAATCAGTATAAAAAGGAGAAGCCTAAAGGATGATTTTTTTTCTTGCTGTGCTTGGGGAAGATCAGGCTGTGCATTACAGCTGGAATGCCAAAATGAACAAAGTTATCTCAGATCTTCCAAGGCTCTTTATCTGCCACAAGGCCGTATGAAAGGAAAGTTTACTGCACTTTAATTACCAACATCTGGAAATCCGAATTGCAACACTAGAAGAAAATTCTTTGCAGAGGGTATCTCCAAACAAAATTCAGCCCTGTGAATACAAGTTCCATGAGGAAACAACCGAAAACCAGCTGGGACGTGAGAAACACCTGCGGCTCCTCTGAGGATTTCAAAAGTCATCAGCTTTTAGAGGTGAATAGCAGCACAACTCACCACATAATCCAACTACACAGACCCAGCACCCACCTCCCTCTGCATTTTATCACTCTCTTTCTGAAGGGAAAGAAAGATGCATTAGTAAGGTTTGAAAGTTTTATTGAAATCATGAATCAGGGAGGGGGGTGGAATGAGTTATCATGCCCACCAAGCACTGCTTGCAGGGTGCTACCCATCAGTGGGGACAACAGCCAGCCCAGCAGACACAAGCACATCCCTGCCCTGCTGGAGGCACCAGAGCCACGTGGCCTCTCACATCTTACACCCACGTCCTCTACCAAAACACCAGCAGCACAAAGACACTTCTGCTTCCCAGCGCTGTCACTTCAGCGAGCTCCTCTCTAAAGGGAGGCAGCCTCTGCAGCAAGGCCAGAGCTCCCCAGTCCTGCCCAGTCACTTGCCAGGCAGTTTCAGTTTAGTCAGAAGAAATGGATTTTCCAGCTCTGGGCAATCCATCAGGAAACAGAACTTTAGTGCAGCAGTTCCACATGCACCAGATCGAGACTGCAGCGCCCACACAGCGCTGGACCCATCGGTCCCTCGGAGGGCACGACCCAGGAGGATGCAAAATGTTATTTCAGGATCAGGAATCCCATGTCAGAAAGAACTTGCATTTTCCTCATTGTTTTCCTCCTGGGTTGTACAAATAACAACACTGCTTGGAGAAAAACTGGAGCTGGAACAAACGGCCAGCACGCAGCAGCCCTGCTCACTGACTGCTCAGAGCAACCACCCCTCGACACCAGGCAGCACACTCAGCTCCCAACAGGCATCTGATCTGGAGTTTAACTTGACTATTTCTATTTTTCAACCTAGCTATATCACAGATCTCTTCAGCACACCCACACTTCAAGGAGTTTTCCAGCAAAGGCAGCACCAAAGGCAGCTGTGACCCATCATGCCACTGTGGAGAGCTCTAAAGTGGGCACCAGCTGAGAGCACTGCCATGGTCAGCCAAAGAGGAGATTTCACTGATCCCAGCCAAGTGCACCACTGTCTCCCTTCTGCCCACTCCTTACCACTACAAGTTCCCTCCTCAATCCTTAAGTGAAACTCCACAACTGGTATCCAGGCTGCAACACTCCAGTTCAGTTTGCAACGTTTTGCTTAGGCTGCATTTCTACTTCTTCTGGACACAGGCCTTGACTGATTTGTCTGCAGGGAAGTACAAGAAAAACTGGGAGGAAATAAATTAAGAACAGTCTGGAATTGTAGTTTTCCCTCCCACCACTCTCAAATCTAACCCCAAGCAGCTTTCAGCTGAAACACGACTAAGGCTCTCAAAGCTTTAAAGGAATCAGTGTTAAAGTCAAGACTGCATGAGCTTGGTGCATTCCCCTTTTCGCAGAGAAATGCTTTAGATAGTAGGTTTGATTTGTTTGTACTTATATTTGCCAAGCCAATGCTGCTTCTTGCCCCTTGTTCCCTCTTTTTGGGAACAGGAGGGGAACGTTTCCTTCAGTCTATCACTGGTTTCATGACAGCTGATTAAAACTGCAAGAGCAGCTACAGTGTGTCTGTCCTTGAGGTTAACCACACATAATCATCTCGGGCTCTATCAGGAATTGAAAAGTTTAGTCATAATTGCTACATAAAACTTGGAAGAAAACTTACAAATGCCTATTTTAATTGAAAACGGGGACAAACGAGATTCCAAACTGTAACACTGCTCGCCTGAGAGAGGCCTGGGTCAAGGAAGGCATTTACACAGCTGATGGGTAGGAAGAGCTGCAGGTCAGGGCAGCTCCTGTCAGGCTGCTCCCTTCACTGGAGGACACACAGGGATCAGTCCCTGCCTTCAGGACTCTACTGTTCTGCACTTCACCACCTGTGCTTAGGGCTCTCCCACCCTGTAACTGCACAGTGGGAGAGGCTCATTCCACACCCAGGAAAGGTGCACAAATCCGTAAGAAGCGACTTCTCTACTTTTGCCAGGCAGGACAAGCACCTGAGTGCTCTCCCAAAGCACCTCTCCCAGCAGGGCTGTGTTGCTGCTGTGATGGTGATGACTTGGAGCTGACCTGGTGTAATTACAGCAAACATGGCACAAAGAGCACGACAGCACCTCCTGGGGAATGGGAGCTGCAGTTGGAGCTGGGGAGAGACCCAGCCAGGCCTGGGGAGGTGCTGCTCTCGTGCATGACATGAACTGTCTTGGTAAGCCACAAACTGTGCCTTAGCACAGATTAATCTGTTGTTTTTACCACTGGAGAAACCTACTGTACACGAACTTCACGGAGACACTCGCCTACCCTTCACACTGGTGTGGTGCTGTGCTTGTTTCCTTCACAGAAACGTGCCCCATGGCCTGTCCTGGACCTCACAGACACCGTGTGCTCAGGGGTCACTCACTGAGATGTGCTCAGGGTGCTTCCACGGGGACAAGCGCCAGCAACCGAGACCGTTCCTCTCTCGTGGGAAGGGTGTGAGCTAAGGGCAGGCAGAAGCAAAAGTTAACCAGAGTAAACTGGACTGTGAGGGAGAAGAGACACACCAGTTCAAACTTTAATCTGCAGGGGGAAAAAAAAAACAGTTTGGAAACGGAAACTCTGCGATCTCCAAATATCCGAAGCTGAGTCAAAGTCAAGAGGGGAAAAAATAAACTCATTCTGTAGTTTATAGTTGAGGATGCCTGATTCCTCCCTTCATCTTCTAAGAAAAGTTCCTGTGTTTGTTAGTGTGAGAAGCCAGGATGTTTTAAACAACAATTATTTTTTGCTCCAAAATGCACATTTTACTTTGTGCCTCTGCCTGCAGAACTACGACAGAGTCACATCCTGAGGACCTCAGGACTAACAGAGTCAGGGCACACACCCAGCCTCAGCTTGCCCAGCTTGTGCTGGATGCATTTTATCTTGATTTTGGTCATGCCGTTCCAAAAAAACTGTACTAACTTCCTCCCAGGGAAAGATCATGTCCGACACTTGCTTGATGCAGGCCAGCATCAATCACCCAGAAGGGGAAAGGCCCTCTCCCAGCACCCATGGAGGCAAGAACTCTGTCGGAAGCTGCTCACAGTCAGTACATTGTAGTCCTGCTCATCTGCATGGCCCCCTTGGCGTCCGGTGCGGGGTGACCTCACCCTGCAGCCTCCTGCAATCCACAGCCAAAAAAAAAGGAGCAGTCAAACACATCCAAAACAAGGAACATTAGTTCCAATGTCTTTTTTTTTTTTTCCTGTTTTCACTTAAAAGACTGCCAGTGGTGCTAATTAGCTAACCACGCACAGACAGCCCCAGATTCACAGCTGGCATTCAGTGCCCACGGAACACACATTAGGCTCTCACTTGGCTCCTTCCTGTGCCACCTGGTCTGCCCCTGGCAAAGTTAAGACTTCCTTACTGGTGCAGGCTGCCCGAAACACTCCCCAGCACGTGCTTGGGGGTAGTTAGACCTTGTGTCCTCCACTGGAGTTATTAAATTCACTGTCACAGTGCACGTGACAAAGCGATTTCAGAGTCCCAGCTCCTTTCCCTTCAAGCTCGTTCCCGAGGGGTGACACACCATCACAGCCTCAAATGCACCTGGAAAACAGTCCCAGCCTTTCCAACAGTCCCTTCATAATCCTGTGGAGATGTAGAAAAGCATTCAAACACCTGGAAAGCCAAGACTCAGGTCCAGCTGTTGCCATGTGAGTGGCAGCCGAGAGGGGCTGGATGTCCCCAGGAGCAGGGGGACAAAGGGGATGGGCCACAGCCATCACAGCTGGACAACCACAGCAGCACCATAGGCACTCTCAACAAGGGCCTGGAAGAAGGCCAAGGAAGTGCTAGAAACTGTGTCAGAGGGGAAAAACACAGAGATAAACGCTTGCTGGAAGGAGAGCAGAGCAAGAGAATGAGAGTCCCAGGGAAAAGGAGGGCTGGTAACAGGAAGGGTTGAGAGAGGGACAGAAACAGCCCCTTGGGGATAAGCAAATAAAGGGCATGGGGTGGGATGAGAAGCACATCCTCACTGACAGATCATCACACACACCAGGACAGGACAGTCCCATCCCTGGACACTGCAGGGATGGTGCACTGAAAACAAACAAGTGGAACTCTGGATAACCCTGACACTTCCAGTTTGCTACTATCACCCCTGACTTGAGTGACACCCCACCTGCCTGTCTGCAAAATCCCAGCTCTGCACAGCTCCCTCCCGAAGGCTGAGTCACACAGCAGCAGCCTGAACTCTGCTCGGGGCAGCAGCACACACAGCACAGACCTGTCACCCCACGTGTCACCCCACACCTTGGTGGCACTATTTCTGTGGGTACTAAGTGCACACAGGACCCCCAAGGCCATCGCACAGCTTCTCAGTTTTTAATCTTGGTCTCCCCAGCTGATGAAGATGCTGCTCCCACAAGAGCCCGTGTTTGAGACCATGACAAAAACACCTCCCATGTGTTTTTGTCACACACTTATCCTCCTGTACACGAGTCACAGGCTTGTCCCTCGGACAAATCCGACAAACCAGCAGTTCTGGCCTCTGTCACAGAGAGCTGGCTCACGAAAACTGTTCTAAGTAAGATAGAGAGACTCAGTTTATGGGAAGTCCATCACAAACTCTAAGCTCACACCAGGAGGAAGGCAGCTGGTGCCCCAACACACAACTGCAGCAGCCTCTTCAGCTGTGCCGTGACACTGAGCCCATTCTCTGGGGAGAGCTCCGTACCAAGCTCCGCAAGGCAGCGTGCCCGTGCACACAGCGCCGGGGTCACAAACGGGCACCGGAACGCTGCAAAAGCTGAGAAAAAACGGGCAGGGCAGCCCGCCGGCAACGGAACCTTTTCCTGACAACGGCTTAGACCCGGGGAACAGGAGCCTGAGGAGCGAACGCCGCTTCCCCGAACCTCCGGCGATGTCCGTGCGCGACACCCCCGGCGCTCCCGGGGGGACGGTGCCGGCCCGGCCCGGCCCCGCCCCGCCCGAGGGGAAGGGCCGCGCCTCAGGCGCTCGGCGGACCCGGCGCAGCC